CTTATTCTTATCCCTATGGCCTATTGGATGCCCATCTCAGCTGTCTCCCGGGGTGGCGAGGTCCAGCCCCTATCGTCCATACCGTACTCCATGGAGACACCATTACTGCAGTGACCATTGCGCAAATTAGACCCCAAAGATTCCGTTGCAGATGCTCAGGATGGACCATGTCGTTAAACTTCTGGAGCTGGTAGGCATGAACAGTTCTGTGCTTGCTGATCTAAAATGAATCGGACAGGCTGTTATTCCAGGAGCATTCCTAGACCACAGATAGTCACAAATTCTGCTGGTTTGTTGCAAGGATGGTTTGATTGGCATGCAATCCGTGATGCTCAAGAAAACACAGGCAGCTGTGGATTTCTACAATGGCTATTTGCAACCCTGGTGCCAAAGCAACACTCAGGCTCAGTCAAGCCAGTGCAGGTTGCAGACTCAGATGGCCAAGCAAGCAGCAGCAAGGGGGAGAAGGTTGCTATGAACAAACAGTACAGTAAGTAGGATAAGAACCTACCACGTAGATGTGATTTTTGAAGAGCTTCATTGACAAGGAATTCCCTGGGTGGCTCAAATGGCTCCGTGCGATCAGTTATCCCCAAACCAAACTTCTGGAGGCTCCAGTGCACCCTGAGGCACCTCAGAGGAAAGACCTGGAAATCTACTTCCAGATGATCCCTCCAGAAACCCTGTGGAGGTCAGTTTTGCACCGACATGTGGGCCCACCATGAATCACCATCAACTCCGAGGCTACTGGCTACTAGTTACCTTGACTTTCCAAGAAGATGATGCTGTGGGAAGAAGAGATTGTTGTCAAAAAGCAGCTTGTCCTCCATGAATAACAAAAGAAAGTTTAAATTAAAAATTTATCAATATATCTATTTTTTTAAATGGTTGTAGCAGTACATCAGCTGGAAGCCACCAGATATTCAAGCCAGATTCAGAAGAGGACATGAAATCAAGGGATTTCATTGCTGGTATCAGATGGACTTTTGCGGAAAGCAAAGAATACAAGAAAGCTGTTTCCCGGTGCCTTATGGACACATACTGACAACATTGGGAGGGGTGGCCATTCTAGGACACGTCCTTGTGCTCATGTGGGACCTGGACACAGACCAAAAGGCAGTTGTTCCAACAGCACCAGGGATGATAAATGGGTTAAAATCAGGAAAGGCCTGGGTCAGGGTTGTATCCTCTCGCCATCCTCACGCGCTCTGTAAGCTGCACAACGAATCCAGGAAGCTGGCCTGTTTGAAGAAAGCGACATCAGGTTTGGGGACAGGCTCATTAGCAACCTTCAAAGTGCAAATGATTCCGCCTTGCTTGCTGAAAGTGAGGAGGACTTCACACACTGATGAAGTACCAAGACTACAGCTGCCAGTATGGATTCCATTTCAATGCAATGCCCCCCCGCCAAAATAACCCAAACCCTTACAACCGGATCAATAGATAACATCATGATAAATGGAGAACAGATTGAAGTTTCATTTTACTTCAATCCATAATCAATGCTCATAGTTAAGAAATCGAATTATATATCGCAGTCAGCAAATTTGCTCACAAAACCTCTTTACAGTGCTAAAGAACAAAGATGGCATTTTAAGGACCAAAGTGCCTCTGACCCCATCCCTGATATTTTCGGTCACCTCATGTGCAAGGGAAAGATGGAGTCGAACTGATGCATCTGGATGATGGTGTTGGTGAAGAAATTTGAAAATACTGTGAAATGCCAGAATAACGAACGACCAGTACAGTCAGAGGGTTTCTTAGAAGCAAGGATGGCGAGACTTCTCCTGAACATATTTTGGCGGTGTCCTCAGGAGGGACCAATCTCTGGAGAGGGACATCATGCTTGTTGAAGTGGAGGGCCAGCTGAGAGGAAGGTGCTTGATGAGTTGATGGACACAGTGGTGACAACGATGGGCTTAAACAGAACAACAGTTGTGGGGATGGTGCAAGCCTGGGCAGTGTCTCATTCTGTTGAGCATGGGGCCACCATGAGTGACAGTGACCTCGTGACACCTCCCAGCAACCCTTGAAGATCCTCCTCCTGAAAGGGACGGAGGAAATCTCACCCCGGGTTTTCCACCATCCTGAATGGAAGACGTTCTTTCCCTTATTCTGCTTTCCTTCTAAACTATGTATCATCTTGTAAGTAGGTGAGGCTCAGACCCCCCTAAGGGACACTAAAAGAAATGAGGCCACTGCTAATCAAACCCAGGCTGTGGGCAAATGTTAATTGTAAGAAAGACAGGAAGGTGTGCCACCATCTCCTGAGGCTCCTTCTATCGAACTGATTAACAATGAGCCGAAAAATAGAGGGAGCAAGTTTGGAGGGATTCTCACCCCAACAGGCTGAGCCACCGGCTTGACTTAGAAGATGAACTGGGGAGGAGCTAAAGGAACATTTGGCCCAGAGCTCATCTTGCCACCTCTTGGTCATGCCACATTTTAGATCTTCATCTGACAGAGGCCCTGGGTCTGGCATTTCGTTTCTTAGACATGTACTTTTCAAAGCAGTGACCTTGGCACAAACCTTTTGAGAGGAAAAAGGGTGCCTAGGCTCCCCAACTCCCACCTAAAATGTTTATAATATCGTCCTCTAGTGACTGAGAATCTACCTGCAGGTGTTTGGAGAGAGAGGAAGACTGAAAAGCCAGACTGTGTTTAAAATTCCCGCAGCTCCCTTCCAAGTGGCGGCCCCAGGTCTCCTGGGATCAGTCTCAATAGAGGACCATTCTTTTTATTCCAAGTTGCAAATGAAGCCCTGGAGTTGAACCTCAGCAACGTTTAGAGCCCCTGGGTTCTCTGAAAGCAGGACTGGAGCCGGGTGGCGGACTACCAGTTTTCTCTAACTAGTAAACGGATTGGGGTGGAGAAAAAGCCGTTGTCACCACCCCACCCCCAGCAGAGAGTTGTTTGAGAGAAAAATGAAGGGACCAAAGATGTGTCGCTTTGCTCGAGAGCTCCCTCTACTGGTCTTCACTAGAAATTCCATAGCAGTATTCGGCCCGGTCCTGTAATTAATGATTTGAGCACCTGAGCATCTTGAGACTTGGAAGCCAGGAGAAAATCAGATGCTTTGCATCATGCAGGAAAACAAAACTCTAGCGATGTTTCTCTTGCCCCCTTAGTCATTTCATGTAATGTTTACTGGGTGCCAAGACAATGCTAAGCATTTTATTTGTGCATCTCATTTAATACCTATCATCGCCCCTCCTGGGTAGGGTTTTACAACTAGAGACCTAGGGAGTAAGTAAGTCAGTTCCTGGCATCACCCCAAACTAGAAGAACCTCTTTGTAACCCTCCCCTCTCTTAGAACTCAACTGAGTGAGAACTCAGGAGGAGCCAGGAACCAAGGGCAGAGAAGGAAGCACTAGAACTGATAGTGATTGCACAGACCATGGGGGGTGGGGGGGATAGAATATATTCAAAAATAGATTGTGGTGATGACTGTACAACTCTTGGTATGATCGAAATATTGAATTGTGCGATATGTGGATTAAGTACCAATAAAACTGTTTTTAAAGAGCAGTAGCAGCAGCAAAGGGCAGCGGGAAATAGACAGGACAATTCATCCTCATCACCGAACATAAACAAGTTGTTCTTAGCCCTGGGATTGCCCCTTACGGTCCCTGATTTCGTTTAACTTCCTCCCATGCCAGGGAGCAATCCGTGCCACGGTATTGTGTTGCCGGTCCACCCTGGGCCCTCACGGTGACACTCAGAACGAAGACAGTGTGAATAATTCTCACAATCACCATGAACCTTCGTAATAGAACTTTTGAAATTTGTGAACCACATCTGCACTTGCTTTTGAAATACAATCCTATGAGGTCGATAGTGCAGGTCAAAGTACATAGATTGAATAGGTGAGTGGGTGGGGTGGGTGTGTGTGTTAGGGCACTGTGTGACTCGCTCCAGGTGTCCTAAGTAGCAAAAGGCACAAGCAAGAACAAAATCGTAGCTCAGCTTAAGACTCGACTTCCTGGTTGGGGTTGGCTGGCCCTGGGGACCATGTTGGGCTGTATTCACAGAGAACTGCACGTTTGTAAAACCAACGGCTTGGGTGACATCTGGAGCTTTCCTTCTCAAGGGGCTAATTCCTAACTGAGCTGCTTTGGTATGAAACCACCTGGAAGCTAGGAATCCCACAAGCCACTCAGTGTCTTCTTCCAGGTGGAGTGCGTGCCCCAGACCTCCTTTTAGAGGTAACTAAGTCCCTGGGGGGAGGACCCCAAATAGTATCTCGGCTCTCCCTCCTCATGCCAAGATGTAACCTTCTCACTTGGTGCAGGAGAATCTCACAGCCCTTCTACTTGGTTCTCCCTGGGGATTTGAGCTGTGGGTCAGTAACAGGACTCCCATTCCCGCTTTGGGGGAGTTGCTCGCCTACATGTTTCTACATCGATACAGGAGGGCAGTGGCTGCATCAGGTGACACCCAGTCCCTCTACCCAGGACTGACTGCCACTGGCCCCCCTTCTCCAAGAGGCAACGTGAAGCCCTAATGAGGCGAGAAGAAAGCCTTTTGATGATGCTGCCACAGAGAGAAGAGCAGGGTTCCTGTACGTGCCAACCCCCTGGGTGTCCACTGCCTCATTAAGTGGTTGGGCTAAAAATATTTGATCTTGATCTAACCACCTGCCATTGAGTTACTAGTGGGGTCTCTCTCTCTCTTTCTCCCTCTGATTTGACTGGCAGCTATCACATATTCCCCTTGGCCAGAAATGTGACTTCCTGTCGATTAATTAGCCCAGGCCTGCCAAGTTGGAGTCGATTCCTATTCGGTCACCTATTGGTAAGGTTGGTCATCCCTTATCCCAACTATAGCTTTGAGCACCTGTCCTTTGTGCTTCTGAGTCGGCCCCCACCCCCCTGCCGGGAAGTCAAAATGATCCCACTGATGGAAGGGAGGGGTGACCCTGAACCCTCCCCAGGAGGAGCTGGGACGCACAGAACGTGGATTGCTGACGCCCTGTCCCTCTCGTTCTTGCTTGTTGTAGGCGCACCAAGGACCAGGAGGAGAGCAGATGAATTTCCAGAGCAGTGCCCACACACCCAGGACACAACTCATGCTCTGCCTCGTGCTTTCTGCAATGTTGCTGTGCCCGTTCATCTTCCTGTTAACCCTTGCCATCCTAACCCCCCCCCCCTTTCCTGACCACCACCTCCCCTCCATTCACCCACCACCCACTCAGCTCTTTCCCCACGGTGCCCCTTGTTAGGGACCGCGGAATTGGTCTCTGGAGAATTCCACGTTGAGTCCTATGCAGATGACAGACACTAGGTTCCATCTCTTCTGCCCACACCTCATGCCAAACCCAGCCCAGCAGCCAGTAAGCCCCCTTAGTCAGGAAAACCAGAGCCAATCCTACCTTCTTCAAGATGGCGCTGCGAGATCCTCGGCCAGAGCAGTCACAGCCGCAGTCAATGAAGGGACCCCAAGGTGTATCTGAGGGGTGCTCTAACTGAAACCCAATGGAAAGACCAGGGACCGCCTAAACTGTCAGATCTTGTGAGAGAGCTTACACATGACTCACATGCCAAAGGTGGTGGGGGTAAGGCAGAGAGGAAAGAGAAAGTCTCAGAATCGGATTGCCCCTGAATACGAGATGGAATCATCTCGTTGGTCTGGTTTGGTTCCCCTGCCCACTCCCAGCCCACCCCCCTCAATTAAATGGTCATTTCATTCTACCACATTGCAATGGTTTCACTCCAGACATTGTCACTGAAGGCCCAAGGCTTGTTCTTCACGGGGCCTGAGCCACAGGCTCCCGGGTGGTGAGGTAAGTGACATTCGCCAGCACTGTCCAAGGTGACCGGTAGTGATCTCAGAAAAGCAGTGCTGATGGCTCAGATCCACCCTGTTAGGTTGAAGATCTTTCTTGTAGTCCCTGTTGACCAGGATGCCCTTCAGGAAAAGCCCTAAGGCAGTGGTTCTCAACCTTCCTCATGCCGCAAGCCTTTCATACAGTTCCTCATGTTGTGGTGACCCCCCCAACCATAACATTTTGCTACTGTTATGAATCAGGTGGCCCCCGTGAAAGGGTCATTCGATCCTCAAAGGGGTCTCCACCCACAGGCTGAGAACTGCTTGTCCTAAGGTTAGGGAGCTCAGCTATAGATGTGAGCGCAGCCTCACAATACTAATCATCAAAACCAGCTGCCCTAATCCGTAGGGCCTCTATTGCCTGCCAGAGTTGAGCTGTGCTCTCTGGGATCCTCAGTGACTGATTTTGTGGATGATGTTCTCTTGCTATTCTGATCATTTTTAGGAGACCTGATAAAGCTATGCTGCTATTCATAAGGGTGTCAACAGTTAGCCCCTCCCAAGTCGATAGCCTATTCCTTCTTCGTAGTCTGTTCTTGGTCTGGAAGCTCCGCTGAAACCTGTTCCCTTTGAGTGGCCCTGCTGGTATTGGACATACCTGTGGCATAGCCTCCAACATCGCCACAACATGTGAGCCACCAGCGTAGGATCAGCTGAGAGACAGGCGGTGGAAGCAGGTATCCAGCCCTTTCTTCCGAGGGGCCTCCAGATGGGCTTGAACCTGTAGCCTTCTGGGTAGCCGTTGTTCATACGAGCTGTTTGCATCACCTGGACCCTTACACGCCAACAAATAGCCGGTCTCAGGATGCACTGACTTAGAACTTGTTGAGGTCGTCTTACTCTTTCTCAAAGACAGCCACCAGCTCCCCCTCCTCCTCCTTTCTTTCTGGCCCGGGGCGATAGGCTAGAGTTGATGTCAAATGCCAGCCGTCCACCACGTGACCTCTTTCTCGCGACACAATCCAGGTCCCATTCATCTTCTAGCCCAAGAGACTTTAATATAGCCTTGCCAATAGGTGGGGGGCGGGGGGAGGGTGGTGACACTAGCTCATCCAACAGATTAGAGAAATGGGATGAAAAGATAATGGAATGTTTTCCACTGATTTTTTTGAAGCCTCTCCCTACGGAAGTAAGAATTGAAGAAAGGCAATCCCCATTCCTTACTGTTGGCCTATCAAACATTGTTATCTAAGCCTAGCAGGCCAGCAGCTAATTGCGAGGCTGTTTTAATAGTGAATAGGCTATAAAGTCCATCTATCTCAGACTCACTAGGCCCTCAGAACGTGGATAGGAACTCCGCCCATTGAATTCAGGTGGAATGAGTCTGCCAAACAAGGTTAAGGCTAAGCTCCTGCAACTACCTTGAGAGGCAGCCTGCAGATGATTCTTTTCTTCCTGCATACCATGCCCTTCAGGCTCTAATACCTCTCTGTTTAACCTCTGCTGAAGTATGCTGGCGTCCCAGTCCCCTCCCCACCCCACCCCCACCCGCCCCTTCCCTATCTCTTCAGCTTCAGCCCTCAACCATATGCTTGCTCTGGCTCCCCCTGTCTTTTGCTCAGGTCCCCACCATAAAATCACCTCCAGCTATTCCTGGGTGTTGCAATAGGTCTCCATTCTCCCAAATGTGCCCCTTCTCGATCAGGCCAGGCATGGGTGAAGCCGCCATCCGGTTCTCCAAGCGGCCTGGGAAGAGACGGGCCACGTGGGAGAACTGGTTCCTAGATAACGGAGCGGTGCAAAGAGCCCACAGAGTCCCAGCTGGTCTGAAGTTGAACTGTGTAGCTGCTTTCACTTCAACAGAGGGGAAACTTCTGAGGGCGATGGCAACAGAAAGCAGGGCGTGAGGGGATCCCCAGGTACTTCCCTCAGCATCCGAATGGTCCTTTAAAATATCACCCTCAAGCCCCCAACTATACTGGCTTCTAAGGAGTGTTTCCCAAGATGAAATATACCTCGTGATCAGGGTAAGTGACGAAAACATGTGTTTCACAGGGGAAGGGGATCCTAGAGCAACCTTATTATGCTTGCTGTGGCTCATCTCCCCCACGGGCTGATGCAGAGCCTCTCAAGTTTTCAGAATCAGAGAAAGTATCAGAGACGTCAGTTGTCAGATGAAGGAGGCCGAGGAGAACTCAAGGCGCAGATTTGCTGCTATTCTCCCTTAATCTAGCATTCTTGGAAGAGTGGCCCAGTTCCTCCTCAGTGCCACCTAGGGGGTTTCCTCAGTGGCCTTGGAAAATTACTTGGCAGCAGGAAGTAGAGTCCACGACCTCCTCACAGCAAACTGGCTGGTTTTAGACCAATCCTTTGACTTTGGCGTGAGGCTGAACCAGGTGGGTTGCCCTTAGGAGACCATGGAGGGGCCTCTTCTCACAGGAGGTATCCTTGAGGAGGAAGGAGCTCCACTGATTCTCAAGGAGGATGGGATCGGTGGGGTGATTCAAGTCAAGAAAGTTCCAGAAGCCTCCAATGCCAAATAATGGGGCCTAGAACTGGAATACTACCTGCCAAGAGATTGGAATTCTGGCGTGGTACAGGCGTGAATGTTGGAGCCAGACCTAGGAATTGGATACCTAGAATTCCATCTTCAAACTCTCATGGCTTTTCCTTTGTCTTCTCTCCCATTTCTGTTTCTTTAAAGTGGGGAGAGTCATAACTCTTGTTTCCAGAGTGACTTCTATGCATGGCAACCCTGTGGGGTGTTGTTAGAATGACACCAGTACTGTTGCCTTGAGATCATTTTATTTCAGAGCACCCAACACAGCCACTGGTGTATAGTAGGTACTCAGAAACAAAAATCTGGTCTCCCCCTCTCCCCTTCATTACCCTGGAGTAGTAGTATTACTCCCTGATGGAGACATCTTTAGGCAAGAAGAATCCCTTTCCGGGATGCCCTCTCTGGCAGATCCATTGACGCTGCTTTTCTGGGTGTTGTGGGGGTTTTTTTCCTCCCCCCAACCCAATGGTTTATCTTCTGATGCTCTTCTGGATGCTTGGAGCAGACACGAAAGATACAGGTGGGACATGTCTGGAGCCCACTGACCTGAAAGAGGAGATTCCCGTCTTTTCCAGGCCTGTGTTATGGCAGCACCCCCCCACCACCACCACCACCAGGGCTTCTGGGAGAGCACTCGAGGGAAGGGTCCTCTCTGTGCTTGGAATGCCCCAAGGACTGGCATCACAGAAGGTGGTTTTCATCTTGGACAGGCTCCACACCAGACTACTAATTCCCTGGGTCCTTGGCTTGAGCACCATAGCCCATAGCAAAGGACTGTGGGTCAGCCTGGGAAGCCAAGGTCCCTGGGTCCGTTGACAGCATGCACCATTGCACTGAACTGAGAATTAGGGGCAATGGAGATGGCAGTGTTGGAGGACTAGCTGTCTGTAGGGGGTTATACTGAGCTTCCAGCTTCCAGCCCCATGACGCTGAGTAGTTGTCCTGATCATAGTGACAAGACAGGGATGAGGCAGATGTCCGCATCTGGGAGGGACAAGACTGATTGCGGGAACGGGCCTGTGTTAGCTGTACGTGCTTTTGACTACCACATTCAAAGTTCAGAGGTGCGCCATTTGAGCACATTTCGTCCAGGCCCAGTGACCTCGTCAGGACTCGATTTGGGCTTTGAGGAAAGCACCCGTTGGTAGGTGCTACTGTTTGGGTTCTGACTCAGGCACAACAGAATTAAACACTGTCTGGTCCAGCAGCCCCTTTAGAATTGTTATGTCTGTGCACATTGTGGCAGCCACAGTGTCAATCCATCTTGTTGAGGGTCTTCTTCTTTTTCACTGGCCTTCTGCTTGACCAAGCATGATGTCCTTTTCTAATTAGCTCCTCACCCACCTGCCGCAAAGTGGCCTTAGTATCCATGTCAGATACAAGCACACTCCGCCACCACCACATGTAGCATTGAAAGCAAGTCACATTTTGATGGGCCGATTCTCCAAAAAGTTTGGCCTTTTATGTAATTGATGTCCTCTGGGAAGGTGCTCACATTCCGGAACCTGTGCTTACAATGCCTTAGTCTTGTATCTCTAAAAGCATGCCTACTCTGTGCCTTTAGAAACATACTTAGTCTGACACCGTCATGCAACCAGATGGCTTCAATGGCACGCTTTCCTGCCCCTCTGGGCACATCTGATGGCCCCATCTTCAGTGCAAGAAACTGGGCCACCTTTCACTCATTGATGCTTCTCCTGCCTGCATGCCTCCCCACTGCAACAGCCTCCCTACATGCACACATGCATGCATCCGTGGAGCTAAAAATAAACAGTTGCTGATGGGCTGCCAGAGGGTGTCCTCCGAACTGAGCAGACGTCCTCTGACTCCCCTGTAAGCAAGGCTGAAGCCACAGAAAAGAACCTGGGGGTCCAGCTGGGGCTGGGGGCTTAAAGCAAAATCTCTATAAGAGCTTGGAGAGCGGAGATGAGAGGAGCCCAAGGATCGATCACAAAGTGTGAAGCCCCACAGTCACCCTCGCAGGCCTTGCCCCCAAATCCCAGCGTTAACCTGAGGAGTAGTTTATGGACATCAAGAAAAGCTGTGGTTTGGGAAGGTGAATATCGAGGATTAATAAAGGAGATGGACCAAGTACCCAACCAGCTCGGTCAACAGTTCCCCCCACCCCACCCCGGGAGCAGAGGTCATGCTGTGCAATTCGGGAAGGTGATCATAGGTGTCCAATTTTCTTCACATCTTTCGATCTGCAAGAATTCTTCCCACCTCATCAATCAATAAACCCTTTGTCATGCTGAGGTGTGGCATTTCTTCAGCTGAAAACCTCAGATTCACGCACACACACACTCACGCACGCGCACAATGTCACCCTCCTGAAACATGCTCCATTCAAATTGGGTTAAATAT